TTTCAGGAATTGCTACCTTTAATAGTACTCAGTGTAGAAGGATCCATAATTGTTGATTTTCAATACCATTGCTTACTGAAGAACTATTATTTACGAAATAAAGTAAAAAACTAAGTAATGGATGAGATATCAAATTATAAAATGTCAGAACTGTCAACAATATCAATTATTAGCTGATGTTCATGCTAAAAAGTAATGTGTGAAACTGACTGTAATCTAACCAATCAGAAGGCTACAGAATTGCTAACTTAAATTCAAATCGCTCTCTTAGTTTAAAAACAGAGTATAATAGTTCATTAACGGACGAACTAGGATGTACTCCTCTAGTTTCACTTTTTTCACTAGTTGCATAAATAACTATTATTTTAATTGTAATAAAAATCTTAAATTACAAAATTATTTTTATTTACTTCCCACTAAATGTTTTACAAATCTAAAGTCGAAAAATATATGTAATGTTATTTTAGTTTAGTTATTTAGGTAATATAAAAATGTTTAAATCATTAAAATTTAACTTTTTAATCCAATAAATGTTTTTTGTTGGGAAACTGCTTTAATTCTTATTTAAATAAGAGCCTACGCCACTGGTATATCGATCTGGAGCAAAGGAGAAGGAATATTTGAAAGTGAGGCAGACGATGACTAGTTGATGACGCCCGTGGCTTTTTCTAAGTTGAATCGTACTCTACCAACGGTATGCTGACTTTGGATTCAAAATTCATCCAAACCGCGCAATGACGTAATGCGGGATGAATTTTTAAGTTATTTTGACACTTTTCGATTGAATAGTGTAAAATAATTTAATAATTTATTTGTCTTTGTGTTAGTAGTGAATATATTTTCCTATGTATAATAGGGAAGAACTAAATTAATGTTTAAAATGCCGGGCTGGGTGGTGGAAATATTTCCCAATGCCACAAAATATGGATAAATTCTTATCGAAGAAAGGAAAAACTTAATTGAAGTTGCCCTATCCACTTTGAGAAAAGTAGTTGTGAGATTCCTCTTTAACATAGACGTAAGAAAATGAGACTGAATTCCACCAGTTGCACGGGCCTCATTAAGCAAAGAAAATAAATCGGTATTTTAAAATTTTAGCAGATAAAACAGTATTTTCCTGTCCCAATACAACGGCCCTTTTGAAGTAATGCCATGCATGAGCAGGACACGAACATGTATAAGAATTAGATAAATGAACAGAAAAATTGCTTTTGAGTATTTTCAAAGTAAACTTGACAAACATTTTTTGAATTTACCAAATAAAAAGTAATTTTTTTGTGTACTTACTTTTTATAAATAAATAATTTGTTTCTGTACATTTATTTTTTATTTCACATAATAAGAAAAGAGATTGCAAGAGAACTACCACGTCCAGAAAATACAAATTTGAGTCAAACTTGTATTTTAAGTCTACATTTTTCATTTATGGCCAGGTTAAGGACTTTGTCACAAAATACCTATAATTTATGAGAACTGCATAAAATCTAAAATTGGAAAAATATCGAATTTTAAACACTATCTCCCATTTATTGCTTATAATTCGATGTCCCACGAGACGTCACCGTCAGTTAGCTGCATGCGCAGGAACATACCGTTAGTCTGTGTATCGTGGATTTGATTGTTTAACCGTAGCCAACAGTAATTCTTGGAAGTCTACAGGTTTTTTTACGTTTCTCCCAGAGAGATATAGCTGTAGCGAGTGACTTTGATTGTTATTCAATACCTGATCAGGATTACGTTGTTGGTCCTCCCATTTCTTATACGCTGCAGGATCATATTTTTCTTTGGTAACTAAGTTAGAGTTAAAAGGGTAAATGGCACTTTTTATAAAACCGTTGCAAATTATCTCAGGTTCTGTTTTTTTCCAAATTTGTTCTATTAATGAACTAAACTTCTTTTTGGGTAACTTTCTTCTAGAGCTGTCGAAAATCAGCATATTCAAATAATGTCAGACAGCCAAGCGGCACTTAAGGCCATATCGAGTCAGAAAGTTACGTCGAGGCTGGTATGGGAATGCATCGAAGAACTAAGAACACTGGCAGACCGAAATAGAGTAAAACTATTTTGGGTGCCAGGTCACAAAGGGATCGAAGGCAACGAAAAGGCTGACGAACTTGCAAAAAGAGGGTCAGAAGAAACACCGGAACCAGACACAAACCCAGGAGTACCAAAAAGTACAGTCCGGGGTTTTATAAATGACTAGATTCGGGAACAACATATCAACTATTGGGGAAGCACCCCAAAACAGGCACATGGAAAAGCCTTCATAGGCAGACCATGTCCCAAAAGAACTGGAGAACTACTCTTAATGAATAGGAACCAGTTGAAAGTGATAACAGGGTTCATGACTGGGCATGCCCCAGTAAAGGGACACTTGAACAAAATTGGCATGTACAATGGGGAACTCATGTGCCGACTATGTCACAAGAAACCAGAAACGGCCAAACACATACTGTGCGAATGCGAAGCTCTAGATCACAAAAGACAGGCTCTTTTTGGACAACCCCAGGTTGATCCAACAACGTATAGAACCCACTCACCCAAGGATCTGTACAAACTTGTACAAGGTACAAAGGTGATAGAGTGGGTGCTATGAACTAACATGGGGGTAAAACACAATAAGCCAATAGGCTTCAGTGTTATTCGGAGACACATAGTCAGACGAGCCCAGGAGAGAAAAAAAACTTTCTTCTCTAATTATGTCTCTGCCATTGGACAAGTGTTTGATCCCACTTTATTTTAACGACTTGAAAACGCTTAAATCTAGGGACTGTAAAATGTGAGATGAATGGGGCGGAAGCTTAAGGATTGTTCTATTATCGCGGGCAACTTTTATTAGTCTGTTATCGACGTGAGACACGTAACTGTCATATATAAGTAAGACGGGCCGATTGGTCCAAATATTTATAATAAAGGAGGTCCTTTCGCCACCAATGTTAAATAAAAAATATTAGATTATGACTAAAATTAATTTTTTTCTAATAGTAGATGTCCTTATTTATCTAATAGTGAACTTTTAACTATACCTTACCGTGCAAATTTTTGAGAATTTTTTTTTTAAAAATGTGTGTGTTTGTACAGTGTCTTATGAGAAAGTAAGACTTCAACAACAATTTTCGAATTATAATTAATTTTACTATTATTTATTGATTAGATGGAGCAGAAAAAAAACTAAAAATAGGGTTTTTGAAATATTTAGGTTTTGTTTTTTACAATAAAATATATAGGTTACCGTGGAATTTATTGAGTAATTATTATTAAAAAATCACAAAAAATTTTCAACTAGGTTACTTGAAAATTTTTTGTGATTTTTTAATATTAATTTCTCAATAAGTTTCACGGTTTACTATATATATTTTATTGTATAAAACAAAATCTAAATATTTCAAAAACCTTATTTTTAGTTTTTTTCTACTCCATCTAATCAATAAATAATAGTATAATTCGAGAATTGTTGTTGAGGACTTACTTTCTCGTGCGGCACTGTACAAATACTCACATTTAAAAAAAAAATTCTCAAAAATTTGCAAGGTAAGGTATAGTTAAAAGTTCAGTATTAGATAAATAAGGACTTCAACTATTAGAAAAAAATTAATTTTAGTCATAATCTAATAACTTTTTTTTTTAACATTTGAGGCGAGAGGTGTGGCGAAAGGACCTCCTTAAGAACAGTTGGGATTCCATCCATCCATTGACAGTCGTGGCATATGAAGTGCCTGGGTACTCGTCTGTGAAAGGAGCAATCCAGTCATCCCATATGTTTTTGCTTTAAACACGATCAATGGGGAAGCTTTAAATCCATCAGCGCTAACAGCTATCAGTACAATAGTATTATCCCTTCCAGATCCAGTAGCTGTTCGTGATGAAGGTGCTCCTCATTTCCCCACAACTTTAGTCTTTGATGGATCCAGAGAAAAGCTGGTTTCATCTAGAGTCCAAATTTGACGAGGTTTATCGTGTAAGCTAAATTCGTCTGACTATTTCTTCAATAGGTCAAATTAGTTATTTATAATGAAAGGATCCAAAAACTTTTTTCTTGAGTATTCTACCGATTGAGGTTTTTATTGACAAATTAACAAATTATGTCTCTTGGAAAACCGCAAAAACCAATCTTAAATGGTGTTTTAAGGTTATTTCTAGAGAGATGTTGCTCAACAGTATTAAAAATATCACGTCGTGTTAACCCCCACCCCCCCATTTTTCCATAGTGATTAAACATTCGGCGAGTTTAGCTTCTTTATTAATGGGAATTGACGTGGATCTTCCCATAGATGAACTTTTCTTGCTTCTAATTTCTTGCTTGTGGTAACTAAGTGTCATCTGGGGGATACCGTATTTCTTATGAGAACCGTATTAGTATTCCCCTGTGTATTTCTACCAATGCTCTCTGAACAGTGTCCTCATCGTAGGTTGAATGTTGAACGTTTGTTAGATTTTTTTTGTAACAACGTACCATGGTTTCCTAAAATATAACCTTAGACTCTTTGAATATAACAAAAATACGTTACTTATTTTATTTAATTGCCTCGCGGCAAGTTTGTAGTATACTACACACTTGCCCATACTATTTACTACACACTTGCATACACATGAGATTTCTGTGGGGCAACTTGTTTAGTAAATAAAATTTTTAGGTTATATATCTAAAAAAATACAAAAATATTTGCAAAACTATGAAAAGACTTACTTTTTCAACTTGCTATATCGATTAAATTGATAAAATCACCAAATTGTGTTCAGTGCCCACATTGTCATGTGTTTTCTTCGGATCCCACTGCGTGTCTAGGAATTATTTGAGCTCAAACATTCTACATTAGAAAATGACATAAAATGTAGTTGTAAACCTTGCTCATAGATGGAGCCACAATAAACCACCGAATATAAGTTATGATACCTCTACACACTTACTCCAGATACACACTTACCCCACTTTACCTTACTGCTTTTTGGCTTAGGAGGGCATAATAGGTTTATTTTTATATCTAAAATTTTAATCTTACCAGAAACGACCATATCCAAATATTTCATTTTCAATAAGGCCTCGTAGGATATGGTTCCATTGCATTCTTTGAGCATCTCTTCAATTTCTTTCCTTAATTTGTTTTGTATGTCTGCATTGACAGCTAGTTCATGCGCCATAAAGCAAATGGCAGTCGATACCGTATCAAAACCAGCAAAGAAGAAAATCATAGCCTGAGCAGCAATATCTAAATTGGTCAGTTCCTGTTTAATCGGCTTATCTAAAATATAATTATTAAAAATATTTGCTTGATTATGAATAAAGGAATTAGTCTAGTAGTTGTAGTTTGTATGCATGATACTATAAAAAGGTGTGATATTACGCAGATTGATACTACACGTCACGGTGACGTAATGTGGTGGAAAGCGTGGCTTCTACGCATTTGACGTATTAGCTGATCGAAAACAGCGCGCGAAAATAAATTTTAATCAGCTCATGGCCAATCATATAACCATATGCCACACCACAATACGTCATGCCCGAACTCGACGAGATTTCGTCGGCTAAGTATCATACCTCTGAAATTATTTGTATCACGGTTTATATGTATGCTTCTGTATGTATATCACCTGCATAACCTAAATTAGCTTCTTCCACTGTAGCAAATCCAGTATCGATTATGTTTTCTTCTTCTTTTTGCTGAGATTCCTTTTGAGCTTCCATAAGGAGGTGAATCATATCCATACGAACAATACCTTTCTCTTTTCTCATCTTTATATTACTGTCAACGAGTGACGTGAAGAATTTATTATTTCGTGCCGAGATAAACCCAATATTTAATAACTAAAAAAAGACCTATATTTAATAATTTTTTAATGCAAAGCTTGATTTTTAATATGATTTTCAGGAAAATTTTTGATTCGAGTTAAAAAATGCCTACCCTCTAAAAATAATTTTTCCTATACTAATGAAAATTTAATTGATTATTTTTTAATTTAAATATCTTTAATCTGTAGTGATTGTTTTAAATAGAAAAGAAAAATTAAATGACTTAGTTTAAACTTACGCTAAATAATTTTGGGAAAAGCATGAATCCGAAAAGTTTCATCCATTTAAGAAAACTGCTGAAATCAGTGACCTCTTTTCCCATCGTGTAAAATTCATTGTTTTGTTCTTTTAAAGAATCAATTTTGACACCAAAAGCTGTGGTAGCGATAACATCATTAGCAAAACGCGTGAAACTATCTTTCATTTCGACTTCAACGATATCCTGATTCTTTTTCAAATAGTAATCATTGAAGTTTTCGACGCACTCTGAAATTAGCTTGAATATACTTCTCATTTTACTGCTGGTAAATGAGGGACTGAGAATTGGTCTCATTGTTCGCCATTTTTGACCTAAAAATTTTAAATTGGGCAAATTAAAAAGAAAACAAACAAAGCAACGTTACATGATTACTAGGAATGGGATATGGGCAAAAATATGCGAACAAAAATGCATGCATTCGCCAAATATTTAGAACGCATCTTCAACCCGAACCCAGAATAAGGTGAAGAAATTGAAATGGATAACCAAAAGGAAGTTAGTGATATAGAGAAAATATTATGAACGAGTCCTAAAGAAGTACAAAGAGAAATAAAAAATAAAATTATTGTAAAACAACTCCCCAGGTTCGATCTGATCACAGGAGAGATACTAAAGAAATGTCCACGAAATGGTTTAGTAAAACTCAGCATTTAGTTTTACTACTATGAAAAACTCTAATAATAATGATACACAAAGGAAAACACAATAATGAAATAACATCATATAGATCAATCTCGCTTCTACATGTGATATCAAAACTATTTGAGAAATTGCTCTTTAGAAGACTGAATAACTTATCCCGTCCCATTAATTCGGATTTCTAGATAAACATTCTACGATTGATTAGATCCATTGCATAATAAATAAAATTGAGAATTCTTCAGGAAAAAAAACTTGCTCTACAGTATTTCTTGATATCTCAAAAGCCTTCGATAAAGTTTGGTACCCTCCAACTATTTAAATATGAAGTTTTTCCCCAATGCAATATGTCCAACTACTAGAATCATGTCTGTCACAGCGAACATTTAAAGTTAAAGTGGAAAACGAATACTCTGAACTCAAGCCAATATATGCTGGCGTCACTCAGGAAAGTGTTCTTGGGCCAGTATTAAATTTATTATACATCTAAAGGCGAGTCCTCACGAGTCGATTTAAGTTGATCAAAAAAAGTGTGATGTTTGTTTACTTTAAAATAACAGTTTATTTATTATTAATTTATTTAAACACTTATTTATTTTATAACACAACTATTCTAATTTATATATACTTCGAATGTCTTTAAACTGATCACTATTTATATTCACCACTGTCTATCTACTAATTACTATTTATCTTCACTGTCCATATAATAACTAACTTTTGTTGGTCCTCCACCAATATTTATATACAAATTGGTGGTCTAGAATGCTCCTCCACCAAAATTACCAGAATTTACCAGAAACGTTATCACGTTATATTTAGACTAGAAATAGTATCTTGTTGACTCTGGAATGTTCGCGAAAGTGTCTCCACCATAGTGGTCACATAGGTTTGGTCTTAAGGGGTTTAATTATGTATAATAATCGGACAAGTTGAGCCTCAAAGGCCAAATAAGACAGAAAGGGAGGGTTAGAGCATGACTGAATAATGACATGGCTCACATAACAAAAGTTTGACCCAGTCAAACTTTTATCGTTCAAGTGATGCGTCATCATAAATTGATTTCAAGTTAAAACTTTGCAACTTTAATCCTGCTGAGATTACTTGACGCATCACTGTATCTTGTTTTTTATGTAATTCTAAACTTTTGAGAACAGTTCCTCGAATTTACCTTTAAATATTCGTAAATGATTTGTATACCCTTTTTTATCCTCTAGAGCAGCCATACTCAACCTTTTTTTTCCTTCGGGCCACATTCGTATATGTGCTATGTTACACGGGCCGCAATATTTTTGGATTACCTTTTTTTAGGCCATCTATCTAAAATTAGTTAGTGGGGACCTCTAATAAATAAAACACAAAATATAAATATATCCCGTTGTGTTACTGCAAAAACAAGATAACTCGCATTTTTAAAGTTTTGACAAAGCACTATTCAAACGTTTAAAACTGAATAAAAAATCAGTAGAAGCTTCAAACCGTTTATTAACTTCAATGAAGAAGGTATTGAAAACATTGTTCATAAAGTATAAACTATTAATCTATCAATAAATGGTAAAAAAAAGAGAGAAAAAGCGTCACTAAGCTTATTTTAGCTCTACATACAAATCATAAATAAATGTACTTGTCACTATCTTCAGTTTTAGTAACATTATTGGATACAGGTAGATTGTGATAATAATGGTGAAATTCATCAGTTGTATCTGATTTTACAAAATTTTAGTAAATCTTTCTTCTTGCACTTTTTTGTAAGTATTTTCAAAACCTTGTTCTTCTTTTAATAAATGTGAAACAAATATGTACGCAGAACTGCATCCGTCGTCATTTTACATTAAAGCTGTTAATTCAGTTGACACTGAATTGTGTGAACAACAATTTATTCGAGTTGTATTCAATAGTACATGGAAATCGAACCAAAAAGAAGTGTTGCTTTACATCAAATGAGGTAGTTCTGATTTTTTTTGTGAGTTGGTAGTGATTAAATGGGTAATGACAAATCCAAGTTTTCCACCTCGAAAGCCCTTCGGATCACAGTTAAATACTTGAAAATTCATTAAAATTTAGGAGTTTTTTCCGTTTTTGCTAATTTTTACCACCAAGGACCTACGTTGCGGCAAAAAATACTATGGATACCTTTTAAGTAGACCAAATTTGCAATTAAATGAGAATAATTTGGTTTCGGTAGGCCAAATGGTTTTTAATATACGGCTATTTGCAAAATTAAAAAAAAAAAAAAAGGAAGTATAGCAATTTTTTTAGTTTTCGACAATTTTTATCCCTAAGTAGTGGGTTTATTGAAATAGTTACTTTTTTTATTTATTAAAGTTCACTAAATTCTTAACAAAACGAGACCAATTATGTCAACTTACACCTGGTACTTCCTGAGACACAGCTGTTCAAAGTTGTTGAGGTCAGTAAACAATTATGTAATTTGGTTTTGGTAGGCCAGATAATTTGCAAAATTTAAAAAAAAGGAAGTATTACAATTTGTTTTAGTTGTCTGGTAGATTTTTACTGAAAATGTGTTTTGTTCTTACCTTTATGTGTAACATAACATATATTAAATATAACAGAATTTGTTTTTACTTTTAGTTGCAACTAATATCATGGAAGAAGCAATACAACAAAAACATGTGTCACCGATTTGATATTTAAACTAACATGCTAACGCCAGTATTCTGTGGGTGTGAAAAGCACGGCGATGTATGAAGGGGATGCGAAATCACTGCGGTTCAAATATAATTGTAGTTTTCGATGGATATCTGCTTGACGCATCAGACAAAAATACCAAGAGCTCTGAACGTCTGCGTTGAGCTCTAGCAACGTCCTCTCCTGATGTTATATTCGATGAAACAACCATTGCTTCAGTTGCTTAGGACAAGTTCCTATTGAATGACAGAAATAGAGTGAAACTCATCGACATGCTGAAATAGACCAAATAACAATATTATATTTGTAAAATGTGAGAGAGGAAAAACCCAGATGTCACCTACTCGACAAATTCCTTTACGCAATTATCACAAACTGGAATAGCACTGTTCCTTCACACGTTTAGCGGTTGTGATACATCAGCACCTTTTGGCCAAGGAAAAAAGAAATTTCTATGGACAATAAAAAAACAGCAACGCCTCGAACAAAGCGCAGAGGTTTTCTTAAGCTCCAATGCCACACCTAAGCAAGTTGCCGACGCACTTTATGGAGGCAACAGAGAATCGGTAAATCTTAACGATCTTCGCTTCCAGTTGTTCACTAGGACGGCAGTTAAACCCAATATGAATCTCGCCAGATTGCCTCCAACCAGGGATGCTGCAAGATTTTACTGTCTGCGAACTTACCACCAGGTGAGAATAAGTTTTTTCTTAAATTCCTTTCTACTTCAGACGACATTCTTTATACATTGTTCCTTATTTTATTGTTGATTTTGTTTCAGGTACAGAAGTGGCTGGGAAATGATAAAGATCTTCTCGATTGGGACTGGAAGCGGAGTACATAAGGCCTCGTTCCTCAATAGATGACGGCACCACCAGCTCCTCAAGCTCTACTAATTATGATTTTCTGTAACTGCAAAAAAGGTTGTATCAGCAGTTGTGGTTGCAGGAAAGCAGGATTGAAAGGCTCAGCTATTTGCAGCTACTGCACTGGCCATTCTTACAAGAACATACTAGACCTGATGTGTGACGATATTGATGAACACCATAAAATGACAATTTAGACCTCCGATGAAGAAATTTTACCTCAGCAAGTTGCCCCCAAAAGGTGTGCTGTGGATTCAGAGGACGAGCCTGGTCCATCAAAAATATACAAAAAAATGCGAGTAATAACTATTTCCTTAACTGTGCTGTACATAAAATACAATGAGGCGTTTCATTACATTTTTAATATTAATGTTTTAATTAGTAAAATGTTTATTTTAATAAAAAATAATGCTTATTTCACTAATAGGGCGTACTTCATTTTGCAAACCCTTCTAGTACATAATTGTTTACTAACCTTAACAACTTTGAACATCTGTGTCTCAGGAATTATCAGGTGTAAGTTGACATATTTGGTCTCTTTTTGTTGGGAATTTAGTGGACGTTAATAACTAAAAAAAATTAACTTTTCTCATAAACCCACTCCTTAGGGATAAAAATTGTCGAAAACTAAGAAAAAGTAATAGTTCCTTTTTTTGAAATTTTGCAAACTTTTAAAAAGCCGTATTTTATAAACTATTTGGCCTACCAGCATCAAATTTTTATCACTTTATTGCAAATTTAAAAAATGTGCATAGTAACCTTTGCCGTAACACAGGTCCTTGGTGGTAAAAATTGGAAAAAGTCCAATGATCCGAAGAGCTTTTGAGGTGGAAAATTTGGATTTATTATTACCATCTCATCACTACCAACATATAAAAAAATCAGATGAGGTAGTTTGATGTAAGGCAAAAAGTACCAATTCCATGGACTACAACTTTTGTTGATCAACTAAAATTGGTCGACTAAACTTGACCCGTGAGAACGCGTCTCAAGCCGCATTCGCTAATGATACTCTGTTTTAACCATTATTATGGAAGAAACAACAGCTTATCTTCAAAACGGAATCAATAGTATTGTTACGTTATAAAATATTTAAATAATAAATCCCTCAAATAAATAAATTTCAAGAAACCCAGTACATTGACAAATTTATTTAACAGAACATTTTAATTATCGGCAATGTTTATAATTTAAGCAATTAGGCAATATGAAAATACTTTGGGAAATTCAGAGGTAACACGGGGTCAATCTTGGCATCGATGTGGGGTCGCTGATCAGGTGAAAAGTAAAAAGAAGAGTGTTGCGCCTCTTCAGTGAAGAAAAGGTGTCCTAAAGAATGTAAATAGATTTTTTTGGTTATTGTGATTATATATTTCGTTTATGTTAAATATTTTTGTTTTGTTAATTGTCTCATCATTTTGTGTTCTCCTCTATCCCGTTCTGGTAGTTAGTGGCTGGCGCTGACGGGGTTAATAAAACACCCCGTAGCAGTATACCAATCTGGTCTAAACAGTGGGGCATAAAAATCAACTAAGAAAAATTCGATAACATTAACTTTATCAATAGAAAAATAGATAATATACCAATAAAATTAAATAACAATATTATACCAAATAAGAAAATAGTAAACTATATTGGTCTAATCTGAATGCTAAATTAAAAGGTAAGGAGCATGTAAAAATGAAAACTAAACAGCTAAAGATTAATTGTAGAAATATGTATTGGTTGATAGGAAGCCTCTCTCACTTTCCACTCAAATTAGGAGGTGACGTACTAGAAAAAGCAACTGCAATTGTTTAGTAGAAGTAGTCTAAAACCAAATTTTAAGGATAAAATTTTTTGCTTCTTGGTATGTTTGGAATAAAGACCTGCACCGAGAACTCCAAGTTGAATCAATTCCAGACGAAACTAAGAAAATTGCCAAGAGGTATAAGGAAAGACTACACAAACACATCAACATGGAAGTACTCCAACTTTTAGACAATCAGTACCTAGTGCGTAGGCTTAAAAGATTCAAATCCTTTAAACTTGTTCAAGGGATATTTTTCTTGATGATTATTGTGTTTAAAAGCTATATAAGCCGATGATCCTGACGTCAGTTTTCAGTTTTTATGATAGACGTTACATGTTAATAGAGAGTTATTGCAAATTTCTATAACGTCATCCACTAATAGTGACAACGTAATTAGAGGAAAATAAATTCCATGCTAAAATAAGACTTATTGCAAACCTGAAATTTTGACATTAGAGTCCTTGTCCTTATATATATTTCTAACCTCATTTTAAAAATTTTAAATTACAGTTAATCTTTTTTTTTTTTAATAATAATACTACATAATATGGAAGAGGCATTAGAAATTACGATTTTAGGTTTAGATGACGATAATATTAAATATTTAATATTAAAAAATTTCGAACTGATACGAATGTTGGCGAGCGCACCCTAAAACCATAAAGTCGTCACTAACTGCTGTCCTTAAACATCCACAATTAAGGACAGGCACAATCTTTATTAAAGTCAGTTCTAGAATAAGAGCGGCACTAACAGTGACTTAAGTGAACTTGCATTAACTCTCTAAAGTTATAAGTTGTATAGTTATTGTATAAGTTGAGCTGAAATAAATTTGAGATACCAAAAACCAGTGTAACAATATGTTTTAAAAAGCCATGAACGTAAGAATTTAAAAGGCACTAAGAAATAAATACCTTTTAGCGCAAATAGATTCTTTCCAAATAAGGGGTCAGCTTCTTCTGGGACAAATGACCTGTGATCCATAAAGTGTTCAAAATCTTTAACACCAATTTGTTTGATCAAGTCTGGATCTTTAATTACCAAAGTTGGAGTGGTAAATTGATAGGATCCCAAATATCTAAAAATATATTGTATTGCATCTGATAATTAAATATCTTATAGGACAAAGCTATAGATATACAGAATTTCCTAAAAAAGTAGGCCAATCCGTTAACGGTAGATTCCTTAGGTCAGTATAAGAAACCTCTATTATTATTTTTTTCGATTGGAGTCATCGTGTTTATTATACAGGATGACTTGCAACTAGCGCCCTCTATGAGCTAGGTGATATTTAGGCTCAAATTATAATTTGCCATCCCAAAAAACCATGGTGAACCAATTTTAAGCCATCTACTTAATAAAACGACGAAAATATAATGAAAAACGTATTTTTAAAAATTAACTTTGTACGTGATGGCTTCAATCGAAAAAAAATAATAATAGAGAGTTCTCACACTGACCCAAGGAATCTATAGTTAACGGATTTGCCTAATTTTTTTTGAAACACCATGTATAACCAAGACAGATAGGATTGTTTACAAAATTTCTGAAGCCAACATGAGTTCACATTCTACACAGAAAAAAATGATCATCTACATTCAAGAAAAGCTTTACACTTGGAAGGTTACATTTGTTTGAAATAAAGCAGAGTTTGCTTCAAATAATATTTCTCGATACAATAAGAAAGACATTTTATTTTATTTTAGTTATAGGTGGGACACCTCAGAGGACAGAGGAATTTGGTACATTAACTAAAACCAATTTTGAAAAATGTTTTTCGGTGAGAACCCTATTAAAAAGCAAGAACAGCCTGTTTTTATTTCAAGATAATTAATTTCTTCAATGAAACTATTCTATAATTCAACCAAAATCAAAATATTTATGTCAAAGCCAATATTAACATTTCTTGGAACAGTTTATATTATTATTGTAACAAATTTAGTTGTATTGCATTCAAGAACAAGGTATTATTGAATATAAATAAATTATATTTAAAAAACTGTAAGACTATTTCATTTAAGATGTACATTTCTTGGAACAGTTTATATTATTATTGTAACAAGGATTTAAGAACAAGGTATTATTGAATATAAATGAAGTATATTTAAAACAAATGTAAGACTATTTCATTTAGGATGTACATAATACTGCAATTGAGCAATAGATACTCTTCATTTAATTAGAGGTATTTTAGTTAGGGCAAGTTGATTTTATTCTTGAAGCAAGGCTTATTAGCTATATTGAACAAGTAATAATACAGTTTCAAATCGAGACGAGTTTTACTTGCGGATATACAAACACAACAAAGCATTGAAATAAGACTATTCATCTTGAATATAGTACACCTTTTTTTCTGTGTAAGCATTGTTGGCCAAAATGCAATATTTTGGTTGAATTTTGTTGCCAATTTTACGGTGTTCTTAATAGTAGTAATCCAATAACGTTATTTCGTAATTTAAAGAAATGTGAAATCTGACAACAGCGCAATAAGACATAATTGATATTTGTAAGAGTTGTAAAACTCGTTTTCATTAATGATTTAACGAATTTAACTTCGAAATTTGTTTATGAGATGTTCATGCAATATGCGTACAAAAACAAATTTAAGAAACGTATTTACAGTCATTTGTGTGATTAAATAGAAAAACCATACATGCGTTAATTCTTGGTTATTTTATCATATACATAATACAATCTGCTGTATTTTAAGCCCTTCTATATGTTGCCAAAACCATATATTTGTTTAAAATCAGATATAATAATTTCAGTACTTTGAACTGAAAAAATCACATATTATTTTGTTTGTTTACCTTTTTCAGCATATATGAATTAGTCCTCTAATCACAGATTTAACGTATTACTTTAAAAATCTTAAATTATCTATATTAATTGTAGATAAGCTGTACGTTGTCAATTTTTTTCCCAAAATTCCACGGCGCATTGTTTCAGCCAACGACGTTCTTTCTTATTTGGACACCCGGTATTTTTAAACTGTTTCTTTTGGTTTATTTCAAGAGGATTAAAATTCTCCCAAGAATTTGATTTCTTATTGGCTTTAGAAATACTGTTTTCACGTTGACATATGACATTTCACATGAAAATCTTGAAAGAAATGAGTTCTTTTAAGTTTGAAAATAAGTCCGTAACTAAAATTATTAGTAGGTACATGTTGAAGTTTTTGTGGAAATTGTATTCCTTTAGAAAGGCTTTGAATTCTAAAATGTCCTTTTCGTTAAATCAACGAATCGTCAAGAGACTATAGAGCTCTTGGCTTATCAAAGAGTTACGATAGTGTGCTAGACGTTACTGAGCAGTATCAAATTATTTCATCGGGATTTACAAAATATACAGGGTGTCCCAAATTGTTTTACCCATGCTGTAACTTCTAAACCATGCAAGATAATTGAACCGGACAAAAGTCATCCATTATAGTTGGCGGTGTACTTTAAAACAAATAAAAATTTGATGACCCACCCTCAAAAACTACCCCACTGGAACAACCCCCTCAAATATTATTAACGACACCCTAATTTTTTTTCTGCTTATTTTGTAGTCGCTACTTTTCTCTGTATAACTGTTTTTAAAATTTTGAAATCGCTCCATAAATAACTGAGATTCGTATTTTTTTTCATTTTCATCAAGTTGCTTGCTGTCAAATTCATGGTAAGTTTTTTAGCGCATTATAAACAATACTATATCAATCTGTCTCTTATCAAACAGAAGTGCACTCGATAAAGTTAGCAGTTTTTACTTAATAAAGTTTGCAATAATTTAAAGTTTGTCAAGTCCTAACAAATTATTTCAAAATGCCTAATCTGTTTAGTTCCAACGAGTACACCGATATGATAATTATTTATTTATTGTTAAGGTTTGACAAATGTGTGGAAGTGGGAGGTGGGCAATTTGAGCACTTATTATAAGTTATTACTACTCTTTGTTTGTTGATAATTATTTCTTGTCTTCTCCTTCTCTTGTTTCAATGTATTTTTTTAATTATGTGTCACCTAATAAAGTATTTTTTATCATCAACTTGACATACAGTTTTATTTAATTTCTCACTTATTTATGGAGCGATTTTAAAATTTTAAAACAGTTATACAGAGAAAAGTAGCGACTACAAAAATGAGCAGAAAAAAAATTAGGGTGGGATGTCACGTCACCATAAAAATTGAAATATTAATATTTTTTTCGTTAGACAAAAGCGGGACACATGTTAAATCGGGACTAATGGTTTAAAATCGGGACTGTCCCGCCTAAATCGGGACAAATATTTTTGTTTATTGACAAAAAAAAATGAAAAAGCCTATATTATATCCCTCTATGCTCTATGGATGTTAGACGTTTGTCTTTAATGTGAAGAAATAATAAAAATGAGCTATTATTTTAAATTATCCACCTTATTTTAGTAAAGTGTGTAGTGTGTTCAGTACTACATGTCATTTATAAATAAAAATATATTTTCATATTGTACAGTTTTGATCAGCACCCCTTGTATAACCTAACAAAAGGTTGTAGCATTTTAAAATTCCAGTTAAAAATGTTATTTTAATTGTGTGACATCCTGTATAAATTAGTATTCGATTAATTTAAATTAAATTATCGCCGCACGCAATATTTCTAAGAAAGGGAAATTTCGTGAAGTGGGAGACAGTAAAGCAAACGATTTCGCTATTAGATCTTAAAATTTCATTTCCCGATATTATCTAGTAGTATCTACTAGTGTTTGGCTGTACAAGTGAAAACGAATAGGAGCAGTTAAAAGCTAGAACTAGAACAAGTAACTAGAACTAGAACAAGAAAGAACGAGAGTTGGTGTTCGTGCTCGAGTAGCAGAATTATAGAAAGAACGAGATTTGGTGTTCGTTCCCAAGTAGCAGAATTATAGTTCTACTATATCCTAAGGAAGTTGCCACCCAAAACCAAATAGTGGTAACTAAATAGTGGCTAATTTTATTATTGGAGATATAAAAGTTAATTTACCAGCTTAAATTTATTATTTACTTGTTCCTTAACATTTTCGCTTTTTACTGAATAAAATAATTTATTTTTATTTTTTTATCTGTATACAGATATAAGGAAAGTATAGGAATCATGATTTTTTTCGACCTCGAGTTTTCGACGGATTTTTACGTTTTGAGGTCCCCTGAATCCGTTTTGACTATTTTCGCGATGATGTCTGTGTGTGTGTGTGTGTGTGTGTGTGTGTGTGTGTGTGTGTGTGTGTGTGTGTGTGTGTGTGTGTGTGTGTGTGTGTGTGTGTGTGTGTGTGTGTGTGTGTGTGTGTGTGTGTGTGTGTGTGTGTGTGTGTGTGTGTGTGTGTGTGTGTGTGTGTGTGTGTGTGTGTGTGTGTGTGTGTGTGTGTGTGTGTGTGTGTGTGTGTGTGTGTGTGTGTGTGTGTGTGTGTGTGTGTGTGTGTGTGTGTGTGTGTGTGTGTGTGTGTGTGTGTGTGTGTGTGTGTGTGTGTGTGTGTGTGTGTGTGTGTGTGTGTGTGTGTGTGTGTGTGTGTGTGTGTGTGTGTGTGTGTGTGTGTGTGTGTGTGTGTGTGTGTGTGTGTGTGTGTGTGTGTGTGTGTGTGTGTGTGTGTGTGTGTGTGTGTGTGTGTGTGTGTGTGTGTGTGTGTGTGTGTGTGTGTGTGTGTGTGTGTGTGTGTGTGTGTGTGTGTGTGTGTGTGTGTGTGTGTGTGTGTGTGTGTGTGTGTGTGTGTGTGTGTGTGTGTGTGTGTGTGTGTGTGTGTGTGTGTGTGTGTGTGTGTGTGTGTGTGTGTGTGTGTGTGTGTGTGTGTGTGTGTGTGTGTGTGTGTGTGTGTGTGTGTGTGTGTGTGTGTGTGTGTGTGTGTGTGTGTGTGTGTGTGTGTGTGTGTGTGTGTGTGTGTGTGTGTGTGTGTGTGTGTGTGTGTGTGTGTGTGTGTGTGTGTGTGTGTGTGTGTGTGTGTGTGTGTGTGTGTGTGTGTGTGTGTGTGTGTGTGTGTGTGTGTGTGTGTGTGTGTGTGTGTGTGTGTGTGTGTGTGTGTGTGTGTGTGTGTGTGTGTGTGTGTGTGTGTGTGTGTGTGTGTGTGTGTGTGTGTGTGTGTGTGTGTGT